GAGCTCTTGTAGAAAACGTGTCTACTTCAGGACCGCCCATTGTGGGCGGGCCTCCGTTCACATCATGTATGCTGGAAATACCTTAGACATTGCTCCCCTACACTAATTTCTTTTCTGCTCTGTAGGCTTTCTCCTAACCGAGTTATGAATATTTTCATTGAGCACCGCTTTTCTAGAGAACGCCCCGCCCACCGAGGGTGGGTCTCCCCAATTCAATCTGGCTTACCAACGCACACCTATAACCACTTTTTGTCCCAGTCTCGAGGCTGTTTTTGACTGTATTTGGAATCAACCGATGCACGCCACGCCCACTGTGGGCGGGGCTCCGCTTGGCTGATGTGTGTTTTTTACTTCTAGGGATATGGTATACCCATCCCAAACCAAACTTGACCTGGACCCTGTAGGTTGTTGTTCGCTTGATACCGAATTTCGTGACAGACGGACAGACAGACATAGCGCATTATATATAGTAGGGATGGTTGCTTATCATTCTCAAAACTCACCACCTATCATTATCACCTGCAGCATGATGCTCAATTTGTCAGGGTTTGAAATACAAATGTACATGGTCCATGGTTAAAACGAACATTTATTAAACAGTAAGCAGTCGTTTGATATGTATAAAATAGATTCTATCCATTTATAACCCTTTTATTAAATCTGCTAAGCTGTGACCGAGAGCTTCCGCTTCTTCTGATGTCCCTGCTTCTGCATACACACGAACAATATTCTCCGTACCAGATGGCCTGTCAAAGACACAAGAGTAACTTCAAATTTACAAAACTCCGCTGTTTTCCAGAGATCAAAGCGAAATCGTCCTTTCAAATCTGTTGTACCTTACAAACGCTCGTGCACCCATTGTATTGCGCAACGAGAGCGTTTATTTTCTCCTGCACACCTTCAGGCTCGAGCAAGACCGTCTCTTCATAGGTGGTTTTGTACTTGGCACGGATCGACGACCTTTGAAAAACTGGCATAGAGAAAAAAAAACAAACCTTCATCAAGGTTTGGAATCTAGTCCAATTATAAGTGCGCCACACATCGATCGGTTTAACGCTTATGGTTACTTAAGATTATAACAAAACAGCTATGCTTGGTTCGGTGGTACAGCTTATTTTAAGGCACATTCCATGTTGTGTGATTATCGCGCTCGAGCAGCGAAGCAGAGGTGCGGAGTGAGTCGCCAAAAATAAGAAAAAGAAAAAGAAGAAATTGTCGATAATTTTCGAAAAAAGAGGGCCTGTCTTTGTCAGCAGTGGGCGAATCTGGCGGAGGGCTGAGGTGAAAGGTTGCGACGGCTGCAAAGACAGCTGCAAAGGCGGCACTTGTTGGGTGAAAAGGAAGCCCCTTGGGGTCTTGCCACGCGCTCTGAATGCTGAAAGTACAAGTTCGTAGGTGGTTGCGTACTCAGTCGTCTCATTAACGAGACGGATTGTTCCAGTGAAGAAATCGTGGAATGTGGCCCTTAAAGATGCCTGCTTAATGATTCACTATTGAAAAAAGGTAGGATCCGTAAAGACTTAATTCGGAAGGATTCATAAGCTGATTCAAGATGTATACAAGTGCAACCTACCGGAACTTTGATTTGAACATTAGGCGCGTTTCTGTACAGTGCTTGTTCCCAGTCCTCGATAGAGAAGCCATACCAACGTAGTAACGATTCAACCACCAGAAGATCTGCCATGGCATCACCAACGACCTTAGACATTGTCTTCCAAGTTCTTCCAGAACGCTTCAGGAACTTTATATTTTAATCGGAGAGTTGCGTATAAGGCTCTAGATAACACATCATTCAACAGTGTCTGGCACAGCTCTTCAAGCAGCAATCATATCTCGCGAATAGAAAACGCGATCGCGATAGCGCTTCGTGCAAGATCCGCGGCATTTGGCGTGGGGCTTGCGTTGCTGCGCGCGGTGCGAGTTTGAGACAAAATGCTATCGCGCTTGCAACTGGAAAACGACTGAAACCGGAAACCCGATCGCGTTTGCAGCAGAATATGGCTCCTGCTTAGTGTACTGCCATTGCTGTTGGATTAAGTTCACATTGAGGTCATCAAGTCGCTGACTTGTGGTGCATCATACATGTCGCAGAATTCCTCCAACAGTAGTTTTCGAATAAGAAATAAGACTTCAAACGTGCGTCAAAACAAAAGCAAAAATATCTGTCTATGCAATCTTGAGCCACATAATTTTTAGGACAAACAACACGAATGAACGTATGTGTTTGCTATAATGCTGTTGTAAGAATCCAAAATATACCTCGTTAATAACAACAGAGAGGTAGTGTAGTCGCTTCACAGCATCACATGACTGCTCATCCCTGCAAATCATTATTTCTTCAGTCAAAATTACGAAGACTGTAGAAGCCTTGAACATTTGGTTCACGTTCTGGGGGTGTCCGGTGTGATAGCGACAGTTGCTGCCGCTGACAGAATTTCTAGTTTTGCAGAGGGAGGAAGTCATTGAAGTGAGGGCATCATATCCATTCCCCTTTCGCACCTATACCAGAGCTTGCAAAACCGGATTACTTCAGGTAATATGAACTGTCGCACCACATTCCCTTCACTTACTGGATGGGACTCGGGTTTTGTTTTTGTGTTGTGTGAAGGCAGAATCCACGATGAAAAGTTAGGTCATTGGAAATAAAAGTAGAGGTGGTCAGTGAGCAGGGATGAAGAAGAAACCATTTGAAACGGCCCGAATCCATGTGAGCCATGCTAGGTCGCCGAGGTCAAATCTTTCGCTGCCAATTGCGCGTCGGTCAGCACCCTCAGGAGGTCCGCCTGTCCCTCAACTATGCAGTTTTCCCTTCTCGACCTTTGTTCTTATCGTGATTCCTCCTTTAAAGGAAGTAGGTACGAAAGGAATTTTCACATCTGCGGAGAACCTGCTCCCCACAGAGCAATTAGCAGGCCGCCAAGGAAGCGATGTGTGGCGCTTCCACTGCGAACAGTGCTGTGGTTGCTGAGCAGGACCATTGCGCCCTTCCGCCCCATGATTCATCGGTGGCTTGGGCGAGCCGTGTTGCCAGCCGCAGCGCGGTTAGGGCGCCATGCCTGCTGTTCGCTGCCCAGCACGCGTTGCGCAATCTCGTCCACGCGTGCGCGGTCTTCGCCGCAGTCCATCTGAGAGCCGCAATAAACGGCCCAAAAGGGGGTCCCATTTCTCGTTTCCTGGACCGATTTCGCTGCTTCTTTCGCCACTGACGTACCATTGAGGACCCCCTCGTCCCCTCTAAACCCCATTCAAACCTAGCGTAACCGCTGCCTTTAAGATTGATATATTGCCAATGAAATTAAGTAATCGAGGAAGATCATTTCGAAGTTCCCTGATTTTATGCTGGAGTGAACGTCGGTATGCGTACAATAATTATTCGGAAGAGAGCGATGCCTATCATTTTCATTACTGAAGTCACTGCAGATCGAGCGGTGCAGGTGATGTACCACGGAGCCACATGGAGGAGGATGTGACTGATTTCTGTGACGTTTTTCACATCGCGAGGGCGGAGCCATAATTTGGACTCACAGAAAAACACCTGTTACCATTCATAATAATTTCTGGAAAGCTACTAGTGATAAATAGAAAA